TTTTCTTGACTGATGATACTTGTAAATGTACAACAATCTCCTCCTGGAAGCAGCAGCTTCATGGCTGAAATCAGAATTTCAGGTTTTCATTTAAGAAAGGAAGGTGCTGCTTTCAGAGCACCACCTGGACCTGTGCTTAACCAATTCACTGAGGTCTGCCTGTTGCCATGGGCAGCTTGGAATACCTCCAAGAGGAAGAAGGTGATCCATTTTTCCACCTACTTCTCCTTGAAGGCTACTCAGAAATTCCCTTACATTGTATGGGATATGTAGAATTGTAGAATCATGGAATGGTTTGGGTTGGAAGGGACCTTAAAGATTGTCTAATTCCACCCCCCCGCCATGGGCAGGGACGTTTCCACTAGACCAGGTTGCTCCAAGCCCCATCCAGCCTGACCTTGAACACTTCCAGGGATGGGACATCTTGTCACCATGGCTGCATTTGCAAGGACCAGGGGCATCATTTGCCACCCATCTGACCTGAAACGGTCTTGATAGTTGGTGTAATTAGAGCAACACTCTTAAAGGAAGACTGAAAATAATAATATTGTCCTGAATGGAAGTCTACATGATCAGGAATGAAGGGAAAAAAAATATAAAATCCCATGGACATCTAGGAAGGAAAACAAGTCCCTGGTCTGTGGTGTGGTGCTGCAGGTACAGCTGCACTGTTGGGGAGTGGTGATCTGCAGCCACCAGCAAGTCGTGCTGGAGCTGAAACCTGTCCCCTTGGGTCCCTCACCATTTTATTGCTGCTCTGTAACAGGATGTGCAACTGCTATGCATTAATACGTTATTACAGGTTGGCTGGTGTAAACTCCAGGTGTTGAGAACATGATTTATTCTATTAGTATAAAAAGGTGTTTTCTATGGCCGTATTAAAAATTATACTAACTGTTGGGCTTGCCACTGCGCTGTGTGTGGCACATGCCAATTTAAACCTGTCATTTCCTCTTAATTTAAGGATATGTCCTCAGAAGATCATTAATTTGGGGTGGAGCTGGGGATCATAGTACAGCTGTGGCCTGTTAACCCCCATCTGGCCATTAATCCTTGCAAAGCACTTTCCCCAAAGATGTGTGCTGCTACCATATAAACACTGAGACCAAAGAACTTAAATTTTTTAGTCTATTTTATATTTAAATCTATTTTATATTGTATTTTTGCAATTACTTCAGTTTGTTCTGTATGATTCCTAAAACCCCAAGATTACTCACATAACACCTTTGCTGAGAACCCCCAAACCATTAGGGTGGTGAGGCCCTGGCACAGGTTGCCCAGAGAAGCTGTGACTGCCCCATCCCTAGAAGCGTTCAAGGCCAGGTTGGACGGGGCTTGGAGCAACCTGGGATAGTGGAAGGTGTCCCTGCCCATGGCAGGAGGTTGGAATGAGATGGTGTTTTAAGGTCCCTTCCAACCCAAACCATTCTATGATTCTGTGATTCTGTGATTTCTGTTTCTGGGGGTGATTTTACCATTTTACTTTCCCACTCTCCAATGCTGTTCTATTTGCTGGGTGTTGAGCTCAGCCTCAGTAAACCAAAGGCCCAGCTTGCATTCCTAAAGCAGCCCAGCTAAGGTCAAAATCATTCTTTTGGGGAAATCCACATCAGCTCATCTGCCAATGAGATGACCTTGAGGGAAGCACAGAGAAAAGGCTCAGGTCTGCCCATGACCCAGCCTCGTGTCCTTTGCTCAGCTGCTGCTTTTTTCCCACCTGCCCATTCAGTTGCATCACACAACCACAGTCTCTCCTGGAAAAGCCCCAGTCTTGCCTGGCATAAAATAAACTCGTATTTTTCAGGCATCTTGGGAGTGGAATATCTCTGTGTGCTGCACTGAGCTACCAGCAGCCTGTACCCAGTGCACAAAGCCTGGCCAGAAGCACATCAAGCCTCAGGGCATCACACGAACACACACGGAAAGCCTGTAGCAGCGCTGCCTATCTTAAACGGGGGCCCTTGTACCTGTTTTTCCTGGCAAAAGTTTATCCAGCCTGTGTTTAAAGACCCCCAAGGATGGAGATTTCACAGTCTTGAGTCTACTGATGTTCTCGATCCTCATAAATTTTTTTCCTATCTGGTTTGAATTTTTCTTTGCAGCAACGTAAAGGCTTTCCTTATCCTGCCAGTGAGGATGGATTGTACCAGTGTGTTTTTAACAGCCTTTTCTGTGCTCAAAGGCACTTATATCCCACCAAGGCTCTCCTTTGGCTAATAAATGTAACTCGATCAATCTGTCCTCCCAAGCTGTTTTCTGGCTTTCCAGCTCCGCTTTCTGTTTTGACAATGAGCCATTGATAACTGCTCTCCTGGTGCATATATCTGCAGCCCTGTCCCCACTCTCCAGCAGTTTTATCTAGACCCATGTTTCCCTCACCTGATTAGGAAAGTGAATATGAGACAGTGTCAGAAGTCTGCAAGTGCCAATGATGAATCTATTGCTTTTTCCTTCGCTGTGAGGCTTGTTACCTATCACAGGGATCCCACAACAAGAGTTCAAATGGCCACCAAAAGTCACACTTTGTGTGCTCAAGAGTAGACAAAGGATTAGCTAAAAGTGAGGATTTTTCAACCTGCTGGTGAACTGGTCAGCAGAAGGATTGGGATGCCAGAGCCCCAGTGAGGGTACCCTGACCTGCAGCCAGATAGACGTTCCAAGAGGTGGCCTGTGTCTCTCCAAAATCCCATTTTTTCACCATGCAGTGTCTTCATGGCAGTGCTGGTGCCCTGTGACAAGTTAGTGAATGCTGACAGGCAGCACTTGCAGCATCTGATCTTCTAATTCACCCTGTGAATGACCTGTTGTCATCACGCTGATAATCAGATATTTTCCTTGACTTTGCTCAGCAGGTAAACTGAAAATAATAGCCCTTACAATGAAGTTAAATTAATTTCTAGTGATTATCTAATGGCTCTCTTAATTATATCTGAGTTTTCCAGCTTTGAGTGTGTTGTTACTACATGCATGGAGAGAGCCAGAGTGCTTTCATCATGTGATCCTCCTACTGATTCAGATAAAAGAGCTTCATCTCTTTAATTTCCAGGTTTTAATTTCTTGCATCCTACTCATCAGAAGGCCAGGGAATAAAAGGAGTTTCATCCCTCAAAGCAAGCATAGAAATGGGATTCATGGCTCCTGGACTTCATTTCCGTCTCTCTCTCAAACTTCATCAGTTGAACACCTCAGTGACCCCATCCAAAAAATTAACATCTTCCTCAGTTCATCCCTTGCTCTCAAGGGAGCTTTCCAAAGAAGAAGAAATCATTATCCCAATTTTATAGGTGGAGAAACTGAGGGACAGCAAAGGGAAATGACTGCCATTTGCTTCCCTCAGCCTCTCCGTGTTCAGGGGCTTGTCCACCAGACCAGACAAGTGCTGGAGTGGAAATAAATATTCCTCCTGATGACTGTGGTCTCTGTGGTCAGGGCTGAGGGTCAAAATGTTCGCACAAGGCCTGCACGCAGAAACCACAGAATCCCCCACAGCTCCACTGCACTTTATTAAAAGTCACTGCTTCTGTGAAAAATGGGGTTTATAAGAGTTAGGTGCCTTAATTATAAAGTCATGTGTGTTTGAATGACTCCTTCCCTGCTAACCGTTTGTGACAGCCTACAAATGTGAAAAGTATTACCAAGCCTATTTTTAACGTGGCTACGGAGAGGCTGTAGTTGGGGAAAACCAAATCCTATGGGATCCTAGAAAGAAAGACTAGTGACTCCTTAAATATGGTTAACATTGAGTTTAGCAATTATGCCAATGGCATCCAAAAGACCATTAGGATGCAGGAGTCTTGCAGAAGCAACTGTGTGTTAAATAAGTGATAGGAGCAAGGGATGTACAGGGCTAAGTTTTCCCCTTGGAAGTAGCTGAATGGTCTTGGATAGAGATAAAAAAGTAATTTCAGAGAGGTGCTGGCCCTTGTCATCAGTGCTCAGGCTCTACAGGTGTTTTCTGCAGAGCTGTCACCTCTCAAGGATTTATTCGATCCTGTTCTTTATTAGACAATTTGCCCTCTAATGGGCTACACAAACTGCATGGGGTTTAATGCTTTGTAGAACTGAGTCCTTAATATAATTCCTCTGTGGATTGTGGCAGACTTGAGGCATGAAGCAGGGGAAGAGGGAAACACACAAAGGGAAGATCCCTCTGGCAGTCTTATTGCATCCAGTAACAAGGGTTTCACCCCTTCTTATAACAGGGCTGGACACTGGAGAAGCAGAGCAGGCCAAAAGCAATGTTACTGTTAGAGCAGTGTCACAGTTGATTTTAAAGGAAATGAAAGTGTTGAAAAGGAAATATTCCAATTAGAAGGAAGGAGAGAGAAAGAATGGTGGTACTTGTTGGTTAAAAGGTAGAGAATAAGGTGTAGAAGATGGATAAAAAGATGATGTGGTCGAGGGTAAAAGGTTTAAGTTTGATGGACACCATTATGGGAATTTCCTGTGGTCAAACATATAACTAGTTTTAGCTCTAATCCTATGATTCTTCCTCCATCCATGACTTCTCATGGGATTATATAGACCTTAATCATGGTGTAATGTCTTCAAAAAGTACCACTTCACCCCTGGACAAATCATCTTGGTGGTTAGCAGCAGTACAAAATTTACACCTTTTTTAAGTCAACTGTGGTTTATCCCCATTTGTCCACCACCGAATTATGTCAATTTTGAGTGAAAAATAATTTATCTCCCCGTACCATAGTATCATCAGTATCCTATGCATATAGCCTGTAATTAAACTGATTCTTTATCATTTCTTAAATAGATAAAAGACTGTATTTCTCTCAGTCAAGGCAGATTTTACAGACTTACCTATCATGTTGTTTATAATACTTTAAAGATAAAGATCAAATCTAACGGTCATGAGATCCTTCACACCATAGAAGCAGAAATGCAAAAAAGAAAAAAAAGTTGGTTTGTTTTCAAGACTTTTCCATTTCTTTAATTGAGTACTGTGAATATGCATCTGAAAAGAACTTTTCCTCTTTGTAATGCAGACTGAGGCTGAAGCACATCTTGTCCCTTGAAACAGCCATTGGTACCAAGCTGTCACAGTACTGCCTGCAGTCAGACATAGCAAAACTAAAGTGTTAGAACTTCATGTTACACACCACTCCACGTGGAATTTCACAGAACATGGTAGGTATAACATGGTTTCCACCTATACATATTTCCTGATGAAAACATGGAACAATTTTCTCATCATTGTACTGAAATGGGTACTTATTTTGTGAATAAACCAAGCCCAAAGTCATGAGGCTCTGACACGTTAAGGATTAGTATTGAAGGCTGGGTTAATTTTTCCTGTTTTCTTTCATGACAAATGTTAAACCTGGATTTTCACTGTAATCACACTTGTTTGAAATCAGGAGTCTGAGTCAGGAGTTTTACATCTTGTCATGGCAAAATCTACAGTGCATCTAGAGACCTGAGGGCTCAGGGAGACTGAATACTTGAAGGCATGTAATTGGAAATAGTAGGAAAATTTGGAAAAGAAGATGGGAAATCATGGGTTTTTCTGATGCATGGCTTGCCTGCTTAGGTATCTTTGTAAGTTTTTTTGATTTGTTTGGTTTTTAAACCTAGTAGAAATTGCTTTCCAGTGTAGACTGTGGATGAGACAGAGAAAAAACCTGCCCTGTGAAGGTGAACCACTGGCTATAACAGATGTTATCTGACTTAGAAACCGAGGCTGTGATTATAAGGTTGTGTTTATCACTGAGGAAGTCAAATTCAAGTTGGTCGTGGCTCTTCACTAGAGATGTCACTCTCCAGAGTGACTCTTACATTTGAGAGACTGACCTGGAAATCTTCAATCTGGCCCCCTCCTCCCTGCTGCAGCCTAAGAAGCTGCAACAAGGAGACAAAGCTGCCTTTCCCTACATTCAAACACATCATGGGAGCAACTTGCAGTTCAGGAAAAAATATGTAAAAAAAGTAATTTGGCAAAATGATTAACTGTGCATTGCGGAGAACGTGTCTGGTTGCAGAAACCAGGAAGGGTTTGGCAGCTGTGATATGGTTATTTACACTTCCTTACAAGTTTGCCTGCCACAATCTTCATCTCCCATGGGTATAAGAATTAAACACCTTCAACGTGTCCCTAATGTATTTTTCGACCACCTAAGATAATAATAACATGCTGAGGGTTTTTTTTCAGTGGAGGACAGATGGTCAATACCATGTTGATCCTCAATCCCACATTTTTTATGAGAGGTGCTGTCACAGGGCACAGCTCTGGATAAACATGAGAGAGGAGCTCACAGTCCTACACAGGCAAGGCAAGCAAAGAGCGGAAGAGGAACAGGAGACAAATTGACTGGATTCAGGCAGGCAGGACACGGGTACCAGGTTGAGACAGGCATGGAGTCACATTTCCTGACTTGCTGCATTCTGTGCTGCCTCCAATGATGTAACACTTCCTGTGGCCCTTTCCAAAAATATTTTCATAAGCTTTGGGTGATGTGCGCTCTGCTAAGGAATTGCCTAATACTATGATCCCGTGAGGATTTGGAGCTTTAATGTTTTAAATCACTTCTAGCTGGATTAATTTCCTCAGATTCATATCATACAGAATCAGCTATTATTGGTTTATTCCTCGTTACAGCTACGACAGCAGCACATTGGTACCTGCCTAACAAAATATCAGAGGAGTTTGTTTTATTAGCTTTAGCTAATGGCTGTCTACTGATCCCCCAGTAAGATGATATTACTGCAAAAGTAGAGGGTTTTGTGCTGAGAAAGTTCACAGGCACCTGTATTTTCCCAAGAAATCTTGAAAAGTTGGGTTGTGCTACATTGGTTAGGTTTGGTGAGCTTTCTAATTTTCAGCTATTTCTGGTTCCCTATTCCAACCAAAATGAGGCTATAGATGAATTTTAAGTGTGGAGCTCATCCCACCCAGCATTCACACCTCAGCTTCTTGTCACAGGCTCCCCTTCCAGTCAGTGCAATCAGACACTTTCAGGCAGTGATCACTCTGACCTATTTTAATTGTCTGCTTTAATGTTATATAAATTGCACCCTAAAGACACCCGTTTGTTTGTACTGAGTACAAAAGGAGAGTTAATGTAGTTGTCAGCATTACAGCTGTCTGCACTTGATCAATGAATGCTGCCCTTCAAGCCGTGTTTAAACTTATTTCTGATGGGATGCATCTGATAGATGATGCATGTCTGTGTGTAACCTGGATGTGTAGAATCTCTTCATAGTCAGAGCAAATAAACAGACTTTTAGGGTGGAATCTGTCCCACATAATGGCAAATATCTGAAGCAACTTAGTTGAACTGTTATTGACTACATCAGGGAGCCCAGAACGACTAGAATTTAATTCGGTGGTTGATATATACACACGAGACTAAATCCAGCCCAAGGAAAGACACATGACTTTTTTTATAGTGCAAAGCATCCCACACCTCTGTCTGAGACCAGTGGGCATTGAGCATGTTGGATAAACATGTTACTCATTTGCATGTGTAAAGATTGATTCAGGAGCCTACCTGCCTGGGCACCCACACCAGGAAATCTGGGCTTTCAGTCATGTTTTTTTATTTCTGTTCTTGTTTGCTATGCTATTGGTATCAATACTAAAATCTAGAAAAAAAGAAAAAAATCTGATAAATCCCCATCCCCCTACTCATAAGATTTGTTTCTCAGAGCCAATATGAAGGAGGTTGTGAAGTTAGTGTGTTACCAAACAGAAGTATGTTACATCTGCATGTTTTATACTTTGCAGAGTTTTTCATCCACGGGCATTATCGTCACAGTCATAAAAAGAATAAAGAATGCAGGAGTGAAGAGGAGGGGGAAGAGTAAACCTTTGGCATTAACAAAGGGTTGTCACCAGATTAATTTTTCCTTTCTGGACATCCAGGTTATGCAGAAGAAACTGGGAGTAATTCTACCCTATAATATGGAGATTATCCCAAATTGCAACTGCAGCCAGCCATGTGTCTAAGGCAAACCTGATGTACCTTTCTCTCTAGCAGACTATGCCAGACATATGTAGTGCCAAGGAAATGGACATGCTATTTCCAGTTATTCCCCTTGGGATGAACCCATTATGATCTGGTTTGGGTCTGCTGTGATGAAAAAATGATTTTATTTTTTTTTTTAACAGCTGTAGGCCAAGTTTTGAGTGCAGCTGGGCCAGTTCATGGTTACAGATGAGCACTGTGTGAAACGGAATGATTTGAACCTGAAACCAGGCAGAACACATTGGCTTCAGCTGGATGTGCTGGGAGTTATGGAGTTTGTAGGAAACCAAAACTCAGAAGGGGATAAGCCCTCACAAACCAAAGCAAAAGCAGGGATTTGTACAAGTGCCTGCAGGCTGAACCTGCACAATTGGGTGAGTTACACCACACCTCAGTCCCAGCAGCTTGGGCGTTCAGAGCCCCAGGTGCTGCCAAGGCACACGGAGCTTTTCCCAATGGTGCCATCCAAGTGTTCCCCCCTTTGATGTTTCATCGAGTAGGATAAAAGAACACAACCATCTTCTCCAGAGATGAAGTACCTTTTTGAGTTTCATTTTGCTCTATCCATGTCTCTTTTCCTCCTTGCTGCTCTCTGATCTTTGTAGCACTTGAGTCCTTGATTCTGGTCCCACATGTGGCCATAAGCTGTAGAAATGCTCTTGCACTGTCTTGACATTGCTGGTGCCAGCACAAGCAAAGGCATTTGTATCTAAACTTTCACACCAGCCTTCTCTGGAGAACTCAGAAATTAAATGCCCCATCCCTGGAAGTGTTCAAGGCCAGCTTGGATGGCACTTCAAACAACCCAATCAACTGAAAAGTGTGCTAGCCCATGACAGGGGGATTGAAACTAGATGAGCCTTAAAGGTCCCTTCCAACCCAAACTATTCTATGATTCTATGAAAACTGCTGCAAACTGATGCTAATTTAAGTCCTTACATTCCACAAAGTAACAAATCAAAACCTTTTTAGCCGTGATGAGCCTCACTCATCATAGTGCTAATCCTTGTATTTCTGGTTTTGCCCGTGGAACTATTCATGCATAAATTTAAACATATTTTCCATTATTCAAGTTCATTTTCGTCATTCAAGTTCACTGTGAGCTTTGCTTTTATTAGTGGTATCTCTGTAGCAAACATTAGATGAGATCTACATTTGTCAGGTAATCAGATTCTTTAAAAGCAGTGTTTAATTGCTGTTTCCAGCCACAGCAAATTAAGTGAAGATACAATATGGAAAGGAGAATTTTCTTATGTATGCTACATAAAAATCAGGGTGGAATTGTGATGACTACAGCTAATGGAATAATTCACCACAAATAATTTATTCAAATGTAGCCTTTTTTTTCCTGCTGAGGGAATAGCTCTGAGGTAAGTGCAGTTTCCTACGCCATACTGGCTTGGACAAATAGCATTATGAACTTTTTTGCCCTCTGGCTTATTCATGAATAACAAAATTTGAGATGTGCTGGTCAAGCCAGTCACATGGTGCTATTCCTGCCTGCTTCACTGAAATATTGCTGCAGCAGCCTCCAGTACGAATATCCAGGTGCACACATTTAATGTTCTGTTCCTCTTGATGCTCTTCCACTCAACCCTGAAATGTCCTGTCCTTGCCTGTTTAGGCCTCTGAAGTTCATTCATAGGAATGTCCAGATGGAAGCTGAACCCAATTTATTCAGAAGTAAATCATAACAAATATTCACTTAATAAGAAAAAATTCCCAAAGTCAGCAACTTATATGTATGTGGAAGGTGCCATACTTGTCAGTGAACCAAAGTATGTGATGTCAAGTCAATCACTGGTGCCCAAATTTTACTCCTTGCTTTAACAAGAAAGGGGAATTCCATTCTTAATTAATTTTGTCATGATGGGCATAATCTTACATTGTACATGGAGACCAGATGGACTCTAACACCGACCTTCTTCACCAGGGAGGATTAATGGCACTGCAGCTACTTAACTGTGAAATTTCCAGTCTGATGTCATCCATCACCAATGTGTTATAATGCTCGCTCCAGACGGGGCTGGTTCCCTGTTATTGGGGTTGTCTGACACTTCCCATTACAAGACTCTGTTTTCAGTTGCTCAGAGCTTTGCCAAGCTGTAACCATTTGGATTTAAATTCTTCATGCTGAGTGTCTGCCTCAGGCTGAATTCATTTCAGAAAATGTCAGCCAAAATCAGGGGAAAAAAAAAGCATAAAAAAATCTGACAACCTTTATGTGAACTGCTCTTTTGCCCCCCGTACTTTGCAGGAAGGACTTGACATCTGGCAAACAGACTGACCTTTGTGTCAAGGATGAACATGCACTGAAAGTCTGTAGGGAAACTCACAGAATCCCGAACTTGCTAAAGTCTCCAACCTTTTGCCAAGCTGCAAGGTGCAAGGTGCAAAGCCCAGGTGAGATTTTGATGTCACCCACAATGGATGTGGGTTTTTTTCTGGGCTGCTTCTGCTTTTGTGGGGTCCAAGAATGTTCTTCATCATAACCATTAAAAACAAAAGGAAAATCCTGACTTCTTCAGTCGTTCTCAGGCCTGTATGTACCTCATGTTGTCTTTACTTCATCCATCCAGAGTTCGAGAAGTGCTTGGATAGCGCTGTCAGGCACACGGTGTGATTCTTGGAGTTGTCCTATGCAGGGCCAGGAGTTGGACTTCAGTGATCCTTTTGGGTCCCTCCCAACTTAGGATATTCTATGATTCTATGATTCTATCATTGTTTTCTTTTCATCCATGTGGCTAAAGAGAAGCATTTTTATTATTTGCAGTATTTGTCATTCCAGATAACCCACATCTCACTTCCAGTTCTCACTTTATTCCTGTATTGCTAGATTACTAATCTACAGCTGCTGGCACCCCATTCTGCTCCTTTTAAGCAGTTTACTAACTCCTGATAGTCAAGGCTGATGACCTAATTTTAGTCCTGTTAGTGCAATTCAGTTTTCAGCCCTGACATTGAAACTCAGTGGAGCAGAATCCACTAATGGGACTCCTGTATTAGTTAGCATAGCACTTCCTAAAATGCTAAAAACACTGCTTATATTAATTGTCCTGAAGACAGTGGAGGTAAGTGGGATGAAGAATAAGAAATCATAGTGATAAACAACTTACATGACCTTCTCATAGATGGCGTTTTGGCTGGAAAAAAGGATTTCATCCTTTTGCCGTGACCAAAATTGTTGTACTCCAGAGATAGCCTTTGATATTCCAGATCATGCAACACACTTCCACATGAAGTTCAATATTTAGTTCAACCCTTTTATGTAAATCTCTGAGCTGAACAAATTGCAAGTGAAGGAAGTAAAAGACTTCCAGGAATCTGTTGTGAAAAGGCTGATGATTACAGCTGAGATTCCTCCTATATGAGAAAACCATCCCTTGGTTGATGGTGTGGCTGCATCTTGGAGCATCAAGCACAGTGTTTATGTAAATCTGAGTGTTCTTCTGCTTGTTCTGCTGCAAAAGCCATTCTCCCTGGGACACAGAAGGAAATCCAGTGAGACAAGGTAATAGAGATGGAAGGCTGCTAATGGAAAGATTAGGTCACTGGGCTGTCAGACTTGTCTTTCTTAAGCACATGTTTATGCTTTAAGTTAAATAATACAGCATGTTTATGCATGTGAATATATATATATACTGCATATGTATCTGAATATATGAATGGTAAGATGCTGTTCTGTGCAAGAAAGTCACATCAGACTAGTTTCACATTTTTATGTATTATATTACATTTCATTACATTTATATTACAATGTAAAAGGTTTCTGCCTTTCCCCAGAAAACACAGTCTTAACATTCATGTGCTCGTGTTCAACAAGCCTGTACACACACAGGATCTTGGAGAGCAAGTTGGTTTGGATGTTACCAGAATTTTCTTGCCCCACAGATGGTTCCTGTGTCTCCTAGCTCTGGATAAAATATGTCCTTGTCATTGCTTCAGTGCTGGATTCAAACCCTGTTGAGGGAATCAGTGGGTCGGGGTTCCCACTACTCCCGGTGTCCTTGTCCTTTTGTTCCATAAAAAAGTATTATATGTTCCTGTCACTGTACTTAATAAACAATTTAAAAAAAAAAGAAAAACAAACCCAAACCATTCAAGTCTATTCTACTTTACCAAGTCTTATTTTCCTGCCCTTTGCAGACCTTGATATTACTTGCAGCAACCTCTACTTGTTGCAACATAACTGCACTTAGAGATCAGGTCTCTCCATTTGTTTCTCTTTGTAGGAGCAAGGATTTATTTACTGTTTTGTGTCTGATAACTCTGAGACAGAAATATCTTTGTGTGTTTATTTTCTATGACAGTTTTTGTAAAGCTCTTTGGAGGTACTTTGTAGTCTTTGAAAATAATAGAAAGGGAGGGGAAGGAGTTGATTTTGCTTCATCTTCTGCTTCATTGTCTTCCCACTTCCATTGTTCCACCTTGAGGGGAAGAGAGCACACTAAAGGAAGAGCTTATACCTCCCACTGAAGCCTTTACCTGAAATGTGCCGCATCTGGTGGGTATTTGTGGAAGCAATGCATGTCAGCAGAGTTTTCACAGTCGTGAGAGGAAATGGCTGAGTTTAGATGTGCTGATTTTATTGTATATTCTTGGATAAGATGATAAATACTGACATACGAAGCCAGTAAGTCGATTTATTGATTTCAATTCTGCTTCTTGCTCTGTTCAGCTCTTCATGTGTATTTTTGGATGATCAGGGAGAGTTGGAGGAAAAAGAGAAATTTCTCCTATGCTTTTGGCAGAATGGAACTAACTAAAAACCTGCTTGAAAAATATACAGAAAACATCCAACTCAATATCTGCTCTTTATACTTAGAGATCCCCATAGTGGTTGCTGCCAGCTGGGGTCTGTTTTGTTGCTTTCTCCAGCAGTTCAATGCACTTCTCACTCCAGCACTGCCCATCCTGTCTCCCTTGCAGCAAACCTTAAACTAAGAATTATGATAGGAACTGACAGGTAAAGGAGCAATTTTCTGTGACATTTCTATTTGACTATAAGTGAATTAATCACAGTCAACCCTGTGCAACAGTGTCAAAGACTAAAAAAAAGACTACAAGCTTAATCAGAAAACAATTTACATCTGAGTAATTGCTGCTTTGATACTACTGTCATTACTCATGATATTACACTGAGCAGTATTTTGACTTTCAGAGGTTGCTGGCTGGCGGAGGCATGTTGGGATTCAGTGTGAGCAGGATAACCCCACCAGGGATCTATCAATCAGAGCAGAGCAAAACCCAGAAGTTCTCAAAGACATCCAAATTGGCCTGCTCGAGGCCCAGCAGTGTTTTTATGAAGGAAGGTGAAGTTGGGGAGTTCAGAAGAGCCCTGTTTGCCTTTGTATTTGACAAGACAAATAACTGGGATTGTGCTTGGAAGTGGCGAAAGCAAGCTCCCCAGGGCTTGTGGGCTCGCTCTTTCTGGAAATGAAGTTTTTTTGGAAAAGTGAGGGATGCAATCAAAGTCAGAGGTTGGGTTTGTTCCACTAAAATTGGGTTGCAATCCCTGCTCGCTTGAGGAACTTTATTGATGTGAGTAGTCCCATTGAGAGTATGAGTATTTATGTAGCTGAGAGAAACTAATGAAATGAACTCAAGTGAAAAAGGGATTGTTCACATGCCCAAGAATTGTATGACAAGGGCCCTAATCCAACCATTGTGGTTTAGGGATTTGCAAAATTACTTATTTTTGCTATTGAGTCTATGTCAGTTTTGCTAACTTTTCACACATTCCAGGCTCTCTCCTGAAATCTACCTTATTTGCTCTGAATTTCTCCTTCCAGGACCGACATAGCAACATACTGACCTAATTCTTCATGTTGTGCAGCTGTGTACTCACTATTTTAAGAGATAAATGGATAACAGTCTCTCCATTCTCCAGTGTAAATTGACCAAAGCCTCTTCATGTCAATGAAGCGACATATGAAGTTGTGAAAGCTGAGAACCCGGGGCTAAATGTTAACTGCAAAAAGACAAGGCAGCTATTGCATTGGACTTTCAAAAATTATTGTGACCATACAGCATTTTCAGGTAGAAATGGTGATCTAGTTAAAAAAAAGAACTATGTCTGGGGTGAAAGGTCTTTGTTGATGTTCACTGGGGTATCACAATACAGATCTTGCCCTGCCCAGGGTCATCATGTTGTTCAAACTGATTTTTCTCAGCAGGGATGTTTTCTGCCTTTTCATATATTAATTTTTTTTTTATCAGGGTTATATTTTTGAAGGTGTCTGTACTCTTGTTGGCTGCTGGACAGCTGTATCACAAGGATTTCCCTCTGGTATAAAACACAGAGCTCTTCTGTATCAGTGTGGAATGCAGTAGCAAATCACTGTACAGTGGCCCATAAGGATACCAGCTACCCTTATAAACTTTTTATAACTTAGGAAAATAAACATGTGGTTTCAGGGCTCTGCATAGTCAGTACTAGCTGACTTGGAGCTTGCTTTACAAAGCTAAAAAAGAAAATATTGGTAGAGCTAATAAATTTCCGAGGGAATCAGCAAATAGTGTTCTGAAAGGTCTGAAACATTTGATGGCTTATGGATAACTTTGTATTTTATCTCTCAAAGCATCATCCAAGTTGAGCACTAAAGTGCAGTGTTCTCCATAATGAGTGCTGTGATCTGGGAGCTCCTGTGGGACACCAGCCTCACATCGAGTTATCCGTGGAAAGACCTGCTAATCCAGGGGATGTGATGTGCTCTCTGCAAGGCCAGCAGACGTGTCTCTCTCAGGGAGAAAATAACTGGTCGTAGCAGCAGCAAGTAAGTAACCAGATCTATGCAGGTATTTGGTAACTCCTTTTATGTTAAATAACCTTTTTCCTTTAAATAAATCTAGTGGTTTGAAATTAGTAGCTATTGGGGATGATCAGAATTGGAAGGTGCAGTTTGTGATAATGGATATCTGTCTGTCAGGTTGTGTTCATTGTTATTCTGCAGCCCCACCTCCTTCTCTAGATGCTGTGTAAACCAGTTCCTCCCTGAAGAAAAAGTGGGGGATGGATCTTTGGCACACAGAGAGTAGAAAATAGGACTATAAGAAGAACTCATGCCCAGGTTGCATGCCACCAACTCCCCAAATTCTAAGAGTAAATGAAGCAGAGAAAAATTAAACTGGTGTGCAGATAAATGAAGATGTGGGAGGCTCTAGTTCCATCTCCTTCCCATGGGCTGTGAGGTGCCCTTACCAACACAGACCCTTGCAGTGTGGTGTGCAGGGGGGGGAGGGTGATGTTCAAACCCTTTCTCCACACGTGGCAGAACTTGCATTTGACAAATCTGTCGTGTCTTCTCTGTTCTGAGCTGCAGCCTTTGCACATGAAAGGGTAAACTGTGCTCTGGCTTTTGGGAGGCTTTCCTGGTGACACTTTCACTCCTTACCTCAGGTGAACATTGCAGTATGTCCTGCCATGACCTGCTGTCTGAGTTGGTGAGTGAAATTCCTGCAGATGGAGTTATTTTGGTTTAGGGTGAAAGCCTGCTTATTGTGTGCCTGTGAACTTCTGGCTCTTGGTGGAGCTTCCCTGAGCTCTTTAATCACCAGTTGTACTGGTGGTACCACAGGTCAAGGTGCATTTTGGAATCAGTCATCTGATCCTCATTTTTCTCAGAAACTACCCTTCCATTTGTGACCCCGTCTTCACAGAAAAGCACAGTAACACGTCTTGGACAAATACTGAAACAAGAAATATGCCTCTTCCCTGCCCATCTGAAAGCCTGAGCTAACCAAAGACATGACCCAATCCCTTGGACACTCAAACATAACTGTGTAATAGAGTCTATGCTCAGCTGTTCTGTGACTCAGCTGACAAATCTTTCGTACAATCACAGAATGGTTTGGGTTGAAATGGACCTGAACGTTCATCTTGTTTCACCTCCCTGCCATTAGCAGGGACACCTTGCACTAGACCAGATTGCTCCAAGCCCCATCCAACCTGGCCTTGGACACTTCCAGCATAGGGAATCTTTCTAGCCTTGGAGACAAGAATGACAAGGAACTGACAAAAGAAAATATTTTTATTTATTCCCTTTAGATGGAAAACTGAGGCAGAGAAGGATTAAGTGACTTGCATACAGGCAGACTGTGGCACAGCCTGGAATAAACCCCAGAAGTCTGATTCTCAGTTTAGTTCCTTAACCACAAAATCACCCCTTGCTCATATCAGAGCATCCTTTGTCACCACAAATTGAGGGTCACAAGCAGTGGGGACAAAAGATCTGGAGGTCACAGTAGTAAGAACATGTTTACTCTGTTTAGGTAAATTCCCTTCCTGATAAGGCCATTAAAGATATCAGTGTTTTCACCTGAATGTGAAAGGTTCTGCATTCTCACTGTCAGTCCCTTGGGTCTCTGTATATTTCTTTTGAAAAGCCAAAGCAGGAGAGTTACAAGAATAATAACATTCATTAAAAAAAAGCAATAATAATAGAGCTACAGTGCAAGAAGGAGGTGAAATTAAGTTTGGATTTGTAGCCTGCAAACGGCTGTGTGAATGCTAAAACATTAACTCTGTTGTTTAGCTCAGATAAAATTGTTTTGGTGCCAGCAGAAAATACCTTTATTCAGGAAGGTCTTCTGGGCTCTAATTTGGAAATTCCAAAAGACTCATATGTATCCAGTTGTGCACTTGTAAAGAGGTGAGAGACCTGCCAATAAGTGATTTACAGTATGTTTTCCCATGTTTTACATTTTGGTAATTTCATGTTGCAACTCAATACCTAATAATGTAAAATCCAGCTTCTCCAACTAAGCCAGGAATGAACTCATGGAGGAGTGTCCCATAGGGAAGGGCATATACTTCATTACATGTCTGTGTGCCAGCACCGGAGACGCAAAAACAGCTCCGTGGAGATTTGTCCTGTAAGGTCAACCCCCAGCAGTGAAAGGGTTGGCTGAATTCACCTCTTGCTACTGACTGACTGCAATTCCCAATACTTGGACATCACCACGGAGTCTGCTGAGGTCAAATGTGCCTTTAGAGGAAACTACCCGTGAACTACAACTCAAGAGAAACCTGAAGGAAAGCTGGAGAAATGCACAATTCCTATGTCAACA